CCTAGGTATTCTTCTCAAGAATGCTGTGCTTATAGAATGGCTGGAGTCCAGCACCTGAAACAGCCTTTGATCTGAGATTATAGGAAGATTGCCTTTCCATAGAATGGATAGGAGTCCACCCAAAAAAGGGCTGTCCATAAATTGAGTGCCCCTCCACTTTGAGAGCCATGTGGTTCGTAGAACCGTTCTATGCAGGAGCCTGGGGGGACTGACTTTATGGATGATGCTTTTACGGGGATAGCTTAAACATATTTAAACATATGCTCAAAAAAAAGCTGGGGCATAGTGCGGCCATGTTGGGCTTTGTTGCTTCGAAACTTTCAGTGCATGTGATATCGTCTCTAGCTCGACTGTTGTTTACATATCAGGACTCCCACGAATTCTTCAGGCGCTGTCAATGGCCAAGTTGTGCTGCACTTGGCAGAGTTTCCTACGATTTCTGTCCCATGTCTGGCACGTGAACTCGTATATCCGGGGGGGTTCAACAGGGTCGGCTTCGTGCCGGCCACGAGTTCACGGCAGATCTAAGGCTCCAAACAAACCGATCTCGGGCGCTACAGCTTCGCGCGCAAAGCATCTGCGACCCACCCAGCCGACCGGTCTGCGGCCGACTCTATCATGGCATGTTCTCCTGGGTCACGGCATGCTTAGAACCCCCCATCCGAAAAAGACATCACCATGCAGCGCCGTCGGCGCTGGTTCACAAAACGTCCCAGTCCCAAAGCATCAACAGGGGGAGTCCAAGCTTCATCACCACCAACGTGCCAGCAATGTAGTTGATCCGCGGCTTAAGCCATTGGATGAAGGCCGCGCCCCCCAATGGGCCGCTGGAGCTGCTGGGCCGCCCGCCCGGCGAGTCAATGAAGACCATGGAGATCGTCGACCTCGGCGCTGGCTGGAAGGGAAGACGGTGTGGGCGGGTTGGAAGACTAAAGTGGAAGAAAAGGCTGGAAACTGCAGGGGGTAACACCAAACCAAAGCCATATTAGGCATAGTATTAGGCATGTATTGGCCTGGATGGGGGGCAAAAGGAGCATCTAAAATATTATTCATTACATTACAAGATATTACATACATGTTGCATACATGATTATACAATATTATACAGGAACATAATTCATGCCACCTTGAGATACCTTGAGCACCTTCCAGTTTTCGAGCCATCGACTGGGAAAGGATTTCAGTGCGAACCCACGGGTGTGACCGTGTCCTTCGCCCATGGTGTCCTTTACATGAAAACAGTTTCCCAATGTTTCCAACTCTGACCTCAAACAGCTCAAACAGGTATTGGAAAAAGGGGAACTGAAGCTTTTGTCCACCTGTGACTTGAACATGAATCTAACTTGATCTAACTTGTGACTTTAACATTGTTTCTGTTCTATATAGGGATCTCCACAAGGAGGGGGTTAGCCGGGTTAGCTGTTTGCTCCGTTCTAAAGTAAGGCTAAGCAACTCGATTCAACTAGTGCACTCCTTGCCAGCGAGGTGCTCATTTGTTTTGCGATTCTGCTCAACTTCTCCGCTGTTCATCTGAGATGCCTCGAGAAAGAGCAACATACAACTTGTGCCGACAGGCTCATCATGGCTGTGCACACATAGCACACACACACACATAACTAAATCCTTTTCAAACCAAGGATTGATGCCGATGACTCCTGTACAAGCCCCCTTTTACGAGCCCGAAACCGCCCGCGTTTTTCCAGCGCCCCAGCGGCTGTCCATTCGACTTCCTCCTCCGTGGCAGGCAGAAACCTCGGTGCCTCTGACATCTGAATGCCTGGAGCAGCGCGCTCGCTCGCGCGTCTCGAGCGCCGCTCGAGACGCGGAGGTCTGGATCTTTTTGGCCTCTTCCACCACCCCACATAGGTGGACAAGGGTTAGTCCATCTTTTAGGCGAGTTGTCTGTGGAAGAAAAAGACCATTTCACGAACAGCGTTTGGACACTTGTGGTGTGTTTGGAATGTTCCGCGGTTGATCTGCTTGACCCTGATTCAATAGTTGCCGTCCTTCGTGGTTGTTACTTGGCTAAATGATGACCACCAATGAAGTAACACACAGAATTGAAGAGCCTCCAAGATCGATCAAAGGTGCCTGTGGCTTGAACCCATTCAAACAAAAAAAGAGAGAACCCATTCAAACAAAAAAAGAGAGAGAGAGAGAGAGAGAGAAACCAAGCCATCATACTGCTGGCACCATGGTTAGACTCGGTCGGCGGTCGGCTTCCTGTGGCCTACCGAAACACACAATGGGCAGGTGCAGCGTGGCGAAAGGCCAAACAAAATGCCACACGAGCATGAGCGTCCCGTTTTCCCGTACTTGACATGACCATAGCAATGGACCATTTTTTTGAACATGTTGTTTCACACCAAGGCGGATTCAATAACTCAAGGAGCATGCGCATGCTCACATAAAATATCACAGAAGTGCACAACATGTGCTACAGTATATTTATATATAAATGCATGGTCACCACTGTTTCCACAGCACTATCAAAGCACTGGTCACTGGTACCGTATGAGTATGGCACATTGCTCCATCTCCGCTTGTCCGCTGACTTCTGTTCAATCAATTTCGAAATCCAAATCCCTTATGGCTTTCCAGCCGAAGTTCGGTGCCATTCCAAACCACTTGTGGCTTGGGTGCAGGAGCCCAAAAAGAACTGCTCTCATCAAGCTCCCCTTCTTCCCCTTCTGTCTTCCCCCCTTGCTGTCGTCCAAAAGGCCGGAGAGCTTGCTTCCTGGCCCCTCCTACGAAAGCGAGTCCCGGTGAAGACCAACACAGGCCGGTCTCGACACAGCGAACCCCAAAAGAAACGACGGGTCAAACAACTCCACCCCTAACATGTCAAGGCCGCGGTCGCCACGGCGCCTCTATGTACAGTATGTAGGTACAGCCCCTAGTGACCCAAGAACCTCGGGTGTTTGGACCCTCCAGTCATACCTACAGGTGTCTCGAATCACCCTCTGAAAAATACGTGGATCATGGTGGATCCATACGGCATGTTTAGCTGACAAAGCCCAACACCCTTGGCTTTGTCGTCCAATTTTATGGGTGATTGACCTGACACTATGATGATATACGTACTTCTATGGCTGGGTGGTGCAAAAGGGCCGAAGTTTGGTAGCGTGTCTTTTTTCTTTGCAGCTTTTGTATCACATTCAATTGGGTTGACAAGAACTTCCCATGGTGCACATAATCCTCCTTGGGCTGGTGCCAAAAGAGAAAATCTGAACTTTTCCCTTATCATCTGGGTGTGCTATCTGGATAGGCTTCAGCACATTCTGAAGTGTCCTGTGCACATGAATCATTTAAGAGTGACAAAAACACGTGGACCCTCCAACTGTGACAAATGTCTGCCTTTTCAATCCTTTTCACACCCTAGAAACAGCCAAAAGGCCGAAATTAGGCATAGTTGGAAGATCCGGGGATAGTTTATATAGTTGAAGCCATTGCAGCAAGATCGTTGCAGCACATGATATCGTGTTATTTAAAAAACATAAACAAACACATTATTTATCTGGACCAGTGACTTAAATCGAGATGTTCAATGCAAAACCTGTATGTAGTGGAAACCCGGCCTACTGGTGCAAACATTGCATCTCAGTTCCAACAAAAACAGCCCGAAAGCTGCTAATCTCAAAAAATACTCTTCCATTCCGATGGTCAGTCTGACTGAGACTCTCCGGAGCGTCACCGGGTGACCGTCACCCTGAAGGGCATTTTGTCGGAGCCTTCGGGTTGTCCAAGAAGTGCAGCGCCTGCTCTTGCCTCATCTCCTGCGAGTGTGGAAAATGACTGGTGGAGTCGAGTAGGTGGAGTTGGGGAGAAAGAAAAAACACAGGGCATTCCTCTAGTATCCTCTTTGGTGTGTATTGGAGGCCTTCTGCACGCTTAAGTACTCAGATCTCCAAAACCATTCGCCACCGGGCAAGCAGCATCAATTCGTTAAATGTGTACCCTCGGTTTTGCCAAAGTCCCCGACTGCCAAACAATCCCCGACTGCTTTTTCACCCTCTGCCGTCGTGCTCCTCCAACAGCTCTTGCCATGCGTTGTGCTGCTTCTGCGCCAGCTCCAACAACCGGCGTTGCCCCTCCGGCGACCAGTTCAGCACGTCGTGCTGCGGTAGCGGTAGCGGTGCTGGTGCCGCGGGATCCATCGCGCGATCGCCAGGACTTCGTAGGTGCGTGGACTGCCGCGTCAACGGGACGGTCAACTACAAGGTCGTAGGACTCTCTCTACTGCGCATAGCGGCCTCATTATGGCTTGAAAAGGTGCAACCAGCAGGACGGTCTCAGCTTCAACATGCACGCACCCGGTTGAGTTATGCATAAATGGTTGAGTCAGTGCATAACATGCACTTCACCAATCACGCAACCAGTATTTATGCATTCTGAGTTATGCATTTTGAGTTTTTGGTTGACCTGGTCAGTGGCAACGCAAGAGTCTTGAGCCATGTGCGATCCAAAGGCCTCTGGATATTACACTTACACCAGTCAACATGGAGACCATTGTATAACCGAAGAATGGTACTCAAAGAAAGCCGACATCGCCTCATGTCAGTGAAGTGTGGATTGAACACCTGGGAAACTGCCTACAGAGTCCTTTTACCCTTTGCAGTTGCTTGCCTGCGTGGCCTGCACCAAGAAGTGAGGTGAAGTTGCATCACACAAAACAGCAGGGTTTCTATATGTTTCTATGAAACTCCTTTCTCCAACCTGGGATTCCGACCAAATATGGCCAACTTCCCCGCAACGGCGCCACGGACCCAAATTTATGAAAAAATCACGACCAAACGATTGGACAAGGCAGGGGCGATGTCAAAACACACGCCAAAAACGCATCATTTGGGACACACTGGCATACGTGTTTGATTCAACACAGACGAGATGTTATATATATATATATCATGTTCCTCAGTTCCTCGTCCGTGCTTTCCCATCCAACTTCCTCGGTCAGCAACTCCTGACAAGATTACTTGGGCCACACCATACTCTGTGGCCTCTTCCAGTGGATCTGCAGTAAACACAAACCTTGGGCCGGGCAGCGCGAGTGGATCAGCCATCGAAGCGGTATGTCGTGACCGTCCTTCGCTCGTTGTATGTCGTGGTTTCCAGTGTGCGACACCCCAACAAAATGCATGACGTTCTGAATGAAGGAAGTTAATGGCTGTTAAAACCTTCAACATTCAAACCACTTATAACAATACGCTAGTTCTGATCCCGAGATTGCCATGAGGACTCTGTTTTGACTGGGTCCAGTGGCGGCACGCCATGGAAACCGCACCGCTAGGTCTCCGGCCCTGAAGCTGTCTCGACTTCCAAAAGTCCTGGCTGCTACTGGTCGACGCATGCCCAACCCATTTGTGTGTGCGTGATGTGATGTTGTTGTTGTCGTCGTTGTCGTTGTTTTTGTTGTTCTTCTTTCTTATTGTTTGGTTGTCGATGATGACTGATGACGTTGTCGTTGTCCTTGTGGTTGTTGTCGCCAAAAGCCACAAGACCAACTCATTTTTTCGACGGCCGTGAAACGAAAAGAACGACATGTTGCTCTCAGGGCATCAAAATGGTTTCACCCACTTACAAAGAGCTGTGACAAAACACATGGATACATTTAGCATCATATAGCCAACTCCGTTTACCCCCTTCGGCCCTAGTTGGAGGGTCTCCAGCCCCGTTCGTCCCCTTGGCATGTCTCCCAAGTACTCGGCGGACCGAGTCTGGACCGACGACAGCGGAGCGACTCAGCGGAGCGGTCAAATGATCCGCGCCCTCCAAACTCCCAATGATGGCTATGCTGTAGTATGGCCTGCAGGATCCTGCAGGTAGGTGTTCCAACACCCCCCCTAGAACCAATCTGATGCCCCAAAAACACCATCAACGCTGATACCCATCTGATTCCCTGCGTCACTGCCTGGCAGCATCTGACCCGGACCCTTTCGCGCCGATCCTTTCGCCGTGTGGCTGTCGGAGCTCGAACGATCGGGTCCTGGCGAAGCACCGCGTGCCAGTTCGGGAGGTCGCACATGAGCTTGCCTCGTTTGGGGCGGTCGCACCGGTCGGTTCCGAGGTTGGAGGACCGTGCTACTTGGCTCCCTGGCTCGAGAGCGTGCTGTTTTCTGGGGGATGGGGGAGTATATATTAGCTGTCTAATTCTTAAAACAATTAAAAACATAATAACATATCTACAATTATCTACATGTTGTAATTAATCATGTGTAATCTGATATTTGTGTACTGTATGACTGTATGTACCTCTCTCTTTATGTCTAATTTCCTCTCATTCTCTCTCATTCTCTCTCTCTCTCTCATTCTCTCCCTCTCTCTCTCAATCTACCTCTCTCTCTCTCTCTGTATGTGCACTTGGAGTGTGAGGGTCAATTTTTCCAGCCTCATAGTTTCAGTGTGAGTTCTTAGTGTCCTAAAGTCTGTCCGGCCATTTCTGTGAGACAATCTAACTAGAGAGCGGTTGGTTGATCCAGTTACCCCGGCTGGACCAGGGTATTCCCTTCAGGACCTTGAGATGAAAAAGTGCATCTCTCATTTACCCTTTGCTTTGGTGTACCTGCTTTGGTGTACCTTTGCTGTTGGGCATCCAGCGTCCTTTGCGGACGGTCTGGTAGGTGCATCGCACGATATCGATGCAGGCCTTCCATCCGGAGGCCGAGCAGGCCTTCGATCCCGGCCAGTTCCAGGCCCCAACGTCTCAAAAGAATCAGAGTTTAGAACGTCTCAAAAGGCCCCAGTCTAGGCCCCAACGTGCCCAAGCAACGAAGTTTCGCAGAGCTTACAATGCCCAAACACGACACATGGGACTGCCATATATGCCTATACATTGGGGTGGTTTGGGGGTCAATGTAGGCATACATGGCAGTCCCATGGAGTGTATGGGATGTGGCCTCCCACAACACGTTTCCACACAAGACGAACGGCAAGTAGGGCGGCCAATATGGGCCAATATGTTTCGCCGTGGGCGTCCGTGGACGGCACTTGCTCGAAAGGCAAAATCTCATCAAGTTCTCCCCACCATCCCCCCACCCCAAAACAAACATAGGATCCTTCTCCAGGAATCTGCCATCTTCACCATCCCCCTCACCCCAAAACATCTAAGTTATATAAAATACATTCCTCCAGTAGGATCCCAGCTTCCTCTCAGACCCGCACTCCAGCTGCCGATCCTCTCGGACCTCGGAGGGGCCGCGTGAGGGCACCGATTGACCCGGGTCGAACGGCACCCCGGCGTCCGACTGGTGTTCCTCGGTCGCTTCACACTGGTGGCTTTCAGGGTTCCCATGTGAATCTTCGGCGTACCACAAAACACGTGATGATGTGACATAGATATGGACCCTCTCAAGACCACTTTCCTTATATATCTATTTACCGAAGCCATTTAGCGGCCGCCTTTGGCCACTAGTGACTCGTGAGCCCACCAGTGATCATAGCGCAATGATTCGCATCATCATCGACGAGCAAACCATCAATCCGGAGTCCATGAGTTTGCGACAACTGGATTCATCGACGCTTACGCCATTCATCGCCGTGTCAACGGCGTCAACGGCATCCCTCAAACCAAACGGCATCCCTGCGAGCTACAAAGCAACAAACCATCCAGGAATATATGCAAAAGATACGACCGCGGGAGGTTGAAGCGCAACTGGTTCCAGGCGGTGCAAAGAGAGACCTTCGATGAACTTGGTTCCCCTCATGGCAAGTCTGTTTGGACATCGAGCCGGTAGTGCTACACAGTCGGACTAAGCAAGTATTTTTGTGCCAACAAAGGTTGAAGGACCTTATATATAATCTTATATATATAGACTATTCCCTATATAGGTACCCCAGGATACTGGTTCTATTTACGATCACCTAACCTCTCTTGGTGTGAAGTGCCATGGAGGAACCACGCCCGTGCTCTGCAAACCTCCTTCTAATGCTGCCCAAAAGGCATCGTAGCGCAGAATGATTGCCTTGGGCGACAGAAGATCCTGGCATCATCAGCGACGGAAGATAGTGCCTTCTTGTGTGGGTTGCACAGTTTTGGTGTATCAACAAAATCAACAAAGCTGCTGAACGCCTCAGGCAAACACGATTCCATGGCCAAATGACAAACCCGTACAAAACTTAATTAAGCTCCCTTGTCTCTGTTGCAAATTTGCTTTCAATGAAACACCAACAGCCTCCAACAAGTGAGACTTTCACCATTTTTTACCGATCGGGATCACTCCCGAACCAACTGTTCCGTTCCCAAAGAAAGACACCTCAAACTGCACGGCACAGGTGGCATTGGTCGACGAACCGGCCTCCAAAGCAGCCAAAAGCTCCTGAAATGGCGCGTTGGGTCGCTGGGATTGCGTGAACTGCGGAACTCGGTTAGATGTGCAGCACCCCACCCAAAGGTGTTCCACAACCTGTTTTGGGGGTTGCGTTGATCAGTGCTACCGTGTCATGCTACCGGTGACGGAGCTCCTCACGAAGCAGCTCTTCCGCGGCCAAAGCGGTAAACTGGAGACACAACCTGATTGGATCACCGTGGCCAAAGCGGCAGGTTCACACTTGCCTCCAAGTTTGGACTGTAAACACTGGCACAACCAGAGTCGCCCTTGTTCTTCATCAGAAACTCCATCCCCCCCAAAGAAAAACAACACATAGTAAAACTACCTAGGGAGCCTAGAAGCTTTCTTTTGTTCGAACCTTTGAGCAAACATGTGACTACTGACCGTCGACCAATTGTAGATCTCCATCCTGATCTGGTCTGGATCCCTCGGCACCTCTTCCATGTTGAAGGCAGCTTCTTGTTGTCGTCCGACGTCGTCCGATCGTCCGATTGATCACACTGAAATCACATGGCTTTGCACATTCGCAGGTGGTGCAGAAATTCCGAACAAACACCCAAGAAGGACACCAAACGATGGGCTTTTCAGCCTTCCTCTCAGTGAGCACCACTGCCGACTCCTCTCCACATCCCTCCCCGCGCGACGTATGTCTCGGGGGCGGGAACGTGTCGCCGTAGCGATCGCACAGCACGCCAGGCAGAAGATCGCCCTGGGCATCGCACGTCAAACGTGGATTGATACAAACCACCAGCATTGTTCATTCTCTTCATACACTCCGAGCACATCACATGGAAGTGTAAAACACCCTGTTCGTAGAGGAAAACTGTCTTCCAAGAGGCCATTGTCCACTTTCATGTTAGTGAGTCAAAGGGTATATGGGGGACCGTCCGTGTGTTGTAAGGAACACTTCATGGGAATGTCACATTTTGTGGTGGCGATGATCATTTCAATAGAGTTCGATGACAGTTTGATGACACCGTCCCAATACAGGATATGCAGGATATAGCGACATCCAATCCATTGCCCAGGTGTTCGGCCCTGTTATGCAACGGACCAAGTGTTATTTCCAATTTTCTATGGCTTCTCTCCATACGTGTGCAATGTCCCAGCAACGTTGCGGATTCAATCAAATTCACATTATATACCGCCTTTTGAGGAGGTATCTGCAAGGACGATGTGCTGCAAACAACTCAAGTAAGCAAAAATGATGAAAAGGCACTCAACATATCCAAAACCACCCAGGTGTGACATGATCAGTTCTCAAAATGTAAATGTCGTTTGAGCAGGCCATCCCATGGCCATCCCAAGCCCAACGGATTCTTTTGAGCGCTGAGCCCCTTCCCATCTTCCCGAACGCACCGGATTTTATTGAGAAGTCTTCAACAATGTATCCCTTCCATCAGTTTCAAGCTCAACACCGTGAACACCTAGGTGACCCACCCCTCTTCATGAAGGTCAAAGAACAAGTTGGACTTTGGTCATTCCAATCATTTCACATGCTTCGTATTGCTTTGTGCAAAGACCAAAATTGCTTTGTATGGCTTTGTATGGCATTGTTCTGCTGTGCACATTCCAATAAGAAGGCTACCGGCTGCTTGAAGGTCAAAAAAAAAATGTTTATATTTAATAATTTCACATGTTTCTTTTCATTCTTTCCAAACCAGTCATGGGCCAAAATTCGGATCTAATGCTTGAAAGAAAGGAGCGTCGATTGGGATATAGGGCGTTCGAATGGTGAAGTGTGGAGTCCACCCCAGACCTGGACCCATCGTCCCCTTCGGTCGCACCCCGCCCGTGCCACGCTTGCCACGCCTCTGCGTTCACGAGGCGATAGGACGTCGCATCGCCAAAGCATCGCCGTCGGTGCTGCGGCGTGGGGCACCGGCGGAGCATCCAGTGGAGCACCAGCTGGAACCCAACGCCAGAAAACGAGTCTTTTGGCGGTGCTGCGTTCGTGTGTTCTTTGGGGGCGTTCATGGTGTTTTTGGTGGATGATTGTATGATTTTGTTTTACACTTGTTTGGCCCCGAGACGCAGCCCAGATCTTGCAGGAACACAATGTGTAGCATCGCCTAACACAACTTTAAGTTTGGTGCATGTTTGGTGCCATCATGTTTGCATCACTTGAGTTGAAACATTGACACTCTTCAGGACGGGAATTCGATTCAATTATGCTCATTACAGTATCGGGCCCGATGGAATCCGAAGAGAATCGTCACTGCCGCTGCGTTTTCCAGGCTATAACATATGCGGGGGATAGTGAATATGCAATGCTCTTACTTTCTATTCCAGGTGGTTGCTTTGCTCAGAGAGGGGGTTTTAAGTTTAGGGCATCACGTCCTTGAATTAGGGGAGCAGTCAATCATGCAGCTTGACAGGTACAAGAACACTGCATGCTCGGAGCGCTTGGCGGTCGGTCGTGTTTTGAGGTGTTGGTCCCAGGCCGCTGCCAACAACGGATGCACTCCGGTCACCTGGAGGCGGCCTCCAAGGCCCGTTGTAGGCGACCCTGCAAGAAACTCCGGTCGATGTGCACGGCCACATTGTCCGTGAGCATCCGGCCCTGGGAGAGGAGGTTCAACGGTCGAAATGGTCACCCAAAGAGATTCAACAGCCTCACAGTCTCATAGTCCATCCCATATGTACCACTAAAGGGTCCTATAAGCCTGTAAGGTCTCTCAGCCTCTTTTGGCATGACATGCAAAAGGTGGGCCAGCACTCAAAACAGGTGCATTCGCCAAAGAAGGAACCAAAGAAGAGCTAGGTACCACACTTGTTTGATCCTGACCTCAGCACGGACTCATAGGTCAATCTCGTCTTCCATGTCTCCAATTCTCGAAGGGTCCATCTTCTTTTAGGGCACAACACTCTTCTCCAATCCTTCTCTCTCCCTAGGTTTTAATCCAACTGACCAGAGTGACCCTTTGCATGGTTGAGCTGGCACTCTGGCCCTGGAAGTCAGAGAGCAGTGACACAGGTTTGCCACAACGCGAAGGGCTGAGCAATCAAAGTGAGCTTGCCCACGTTTTACCCAAAGGCGTGCCCGCTTAGCCTTAGTGATTTCAAGTCGTTAGCGCCAGTCTTGTTGGTCAATTAGCCCTCAGCGTTGCCTTGTCAGGTCTGAACTGGCAAGCCCCAGCTCGCGGGTGGCCCAGAAATCCCCGAAAAAGGGAACGCTGGAGACGAAGAACGCGGGCAAAACCACGCCCAGTGTGGCTTTCAGGCGCAGCGTTCTGCGGCGCGCCGTCCTCGCTGCGGCGTTTCGCGGCGCGGCTCGTTTCCACCGGGTGACGAGGATATTGATTCCACCAGATCGTGCCAGGGTGCACATGGCAACACCTCGGCCCGCGCGGAGAAGAAAGTGCGACGGAGAAGAACACCGAAACTCTCCGTGGGTGGAGATGGTTGGAGAGATGTTCTTTGTTGAGCCCACCAAGTAACATGTATACTTATATAAGCAACCTTAAGCATATCACTGTACACGTATACCGTAAATTTATATTTGTTATATATATATATATTAGTTACAGTATATGTAATGTAATGATCTATATATTAGGATCGGTGTCCTTCCATCTGGTGTCACCCGTCCATCTGGTTCCAGGATCACCGAACCCGCTTCCGGGAGGTGAAGGTTCCGCACACGAAGGAAGAACACACGCATGGGCCGTTGCTTTCCGTGGAGGCCACGGAAGTGTGACCCACGAACGGTACGAACGGTAGCCCCATGTTGGTCCCCAGTCAGGCAACTGGTCTTCACCGGCAAAGCCTCCCTTCAACTTCGACGTCTTGCGATCGACAGCATCAGGTCGTCTGTCCGTCGCAACCAATGACCAAATCACCAAATGTTCCTGCGGAGGCAAGCTCTTGGCTCACCCCCTCCCACGTGGTCTGAATCATAATTCACGGTGAGCCCAAAATTATCCAATTTGGATGTGAGGGGGGCAGCCATGTAAATATATATATATAATTATATATATATATATATATGCTCGCAACGTCGCAACTTGCCTGGATCCTCCGAGTGTAGCGTACATACTTTATCATTTACCATACTTTTATGCAGTATTCTGCCAGCCCAACAGATTGTCTGGCAAAAGCAAGCAAAAACTTCCCCTATAACATCTCATCCCGATCAAATCAACATAAAGCAGGAGCGGACGCCATCCCAAAAGAAACATGGGCGCAAAAGAGTGCAACATCCACCAACATACAATTCCAGGCCTAACAAGAAGCTATATACCAACGTAACAGGCATCGCTACGAAGGTAGCGATCGGACGCTGAACCGAACGTAGCTCTAGGCCACTTCCCTGTGTCAACTTCCCCGCTCCATCAGGCTCCAGTCCAAGTGTATGGCCTAATTCTCGGCCTTCACTGTTCTCCACCTAATCAGGACAAACGTGGGCAGTTTTCGATGACCACTTCGCCGCTGGTCGGTTAGGATAGGACTTATGCCATCACCAAAGGCGATGGCCTATTGGCAGTCTGAACCCAGAAAACACATCACACACTGATTGACATGCTTCAATCCAAAAGGATCCCTGTGACTCCAAGGGTTACACACACACCTTCACAGGCTTGCAGGCATGCCGCGCTCCAAACGGCGACGATCCAATGCCCCACTGAGCCCCTGTCATCCACCAACAAGGAGGTCTTCCCGTGCTGGATGAGCTCAGGCACCTCGAAACGATCTGAAGAAGAACAAGAAGAAGTCACCATGAAAAACAACTCTTTCCTGAGTGTTTTTTACCGCCTTTCAACAACCGTGAGACCCATTTGCTGAAAAACATGGGACCAAAAGTTCGGACCTTCTTTGGCCAATCGTCTTGCAGCAATACTAACAGCCTCTCTTGCCTGTTTTCACCGCCAGGCATGTGTTCAGTCTTTGACATCCCTCATCAGAACTCCCCCCAAATAGTCAACTATATCAACTATTCCATTCCAAACCTTCTGACCTTCAGAACTTCCCCTATTCTGACCTGTGGGGGGGGGGGGTATTTTTCGTTTGTTTTCCTCCCATGCGTCGCCATGCGTCAACCACCTGACCTGCCCTCTGCCACCCTGGCGGGTCTCCCGGGCGTTCACGACTTCGTTCCGGAAGATCCATGGCATCTGCCGTGAGACCCGGGCATCGCCACCTGCGACGTGGGCACACTGTTTCGCGACACCGGCCACAGTCTTGGCTTCTGGGCTTCCTTACTTACTGTTTCTAGTTTCTCTTGGTGCAGGAATTGACTCAAGCGAATCTAAGTCTCACAAGGTCAAACGTGTGATCAAGGCCTACTCTCTAAGTCTCACTCTTGTTTCTTGTCTGCCGGCCTTTCGCTCGCTTGGTTCGCGGAGCCATCACAAGCCTCAAGGATTCGCCATGATCTGAGACACAAATCAGCGGCAAAGGTGTCTGCAAGTGGGACCGGGAAATCAATCTTCATACTTCACGGACAAACATTATATGTACAATATTTATAATAGTAACATATATAGTATATCAATGCATATTAAATATATTGGCATACCGTCATACCTGAATACTTGTTTGATATTAATGTAGTGAGTTAAACACCGGCGTGATATTTATGTTTTGCTTCCGGATCTTCAAGAGACCAATATTTCTTGAGAATTATAGCATATATTTGTGTAAGTTTAACCTTGTCTAAACACCTACTTAATCCTAATCATAATTGTGTATTCATGACATTCTGTCAGCGATGGCTGTGTTTATGTTTATTTGATAATTGACCTCAGAACTTCAGCATTACACACATCCAACATCATTCCAACCTAATGGAGACTCTTGATATATAACCCCCGGATTTGAGTTGGACATCCTCTTCATATGGGGGGTTGATGATCAAGAGTCTAAATTATTCCAACCATGGTCATCCTGCAGTTTCTGCTGAATGCCCCAGGTCCGCAGAATCGCCCCAAAAAAATCTGTCAGGAACCCGAGGACGCATGGACCCCTGATTCGGGTTGAACAGGAATCTTCAATCAAACCCCCTCCGGCGGTCTTTTCACATCGCACAGCTCTGCTGTTCAGTACTTTTCAAGTGCTTTGGTTTCTTTTGTGCCTCACCTGTTTTTGTTGGCTTCGGAGTTCCTTTTCCACAACACTCCAACGGGAGGCCTCGGGCGATGTGCAGCTTCCGCCGCCTGAAGCTCGGTGAAGCAGGTGGAGTCGGCATGTTCCTCGAGTTTTTTTCCCCTTGCTTGTGCTCTCACCTCAAGAGCATACCTGAAGAGCATGTGCGAAGAAAAAACAACATTTGTTTGACGGGGGTTCAACTGGAAAAAGACTCTTCACGCAGGGGCGAGCTTTTGCGGGTGGAAGGATTCTTGTGCGACCGCCGAGTTTCCCAGTGTTTCTAGAAACAATCTGGGCAAACGTCGGTTCAAGCTGCCTGAAATTCCAAGTGAGATTTTACATCATGTTTAACATTTGATATCGTAAGATGTGTCTGCACTTATCATTCAGGTAGTTGTTCCGTCATCAGCAAGGCAGGCGACTGGTATACTGTACATAGATATATACATGGTGCACAGCCTCTCTCTCCCTCACAAGATGTCCTCTACGTGGGCATTGGAAGTCTAAATGGCCTTGCGATCATCCCAACAAAACCCCCTAGAGATGCAAGTACCTCCTCAGAAGGCAAAATCAACATTTAGTAGAAACAACAGTGGAAGATTCAAAAGCACCCTCTCTTTCAAGAAAACCTCTCATATCAACTTCCCCTCGACTCGCAAGCCGCCTCGTTGGCTGAGCGCCGACCTCAGCTTCCGGATGGGGATGGACCGGTCAGCCCAAGGTTTCACTGGGACACCCGGATCTGTGGTAGGTTGACAAAGGTTTAAAATGTCTGGTTGTCTTTTTGTGGTTCACCAGGGCCCCAGTTTGGACCTTTCAGCCTTGGCATTTGACCTTTCAGCCTTGGCAAAAGCAAGAAGCCAAGGCACCAAGGTCAAAGCCATGGACTAAGAGACTAAGACTAAGACTATGGGCACCGGTCACCGCTGCAGAACCACTGGTCATCGCAAGGCGTAAGTTCCAGGTTCAAAACGACTTGGGCAGGGCACGTGTTCCGCATGGATCACGCAACAAGGATTGAACAGCTTATATGCCACGTTGAAACGCGGTCAAACCTCCAGGGACTCCAGTTCGTCGGCGGATGCACCTATTTTACTGCTAGTACGCAAACCCTTCGATAGCACATTGAAATAAAAGGACCGGATAACCCCACATGATAAGTTTTACAAATTTCAATTGTATATGAACATCACACGGGAGACGGAGTAGTGAGATGAAAAGTCAAGAACGAAGTGTGAGGAGAGAAGGTATATGAGGCGGTTGTGCTAAGACGTGTAGTATAAGTGATGATGTGATGGACGAGGATGAGAAGGAGGGGAGGGAGGAGGTGTGTGTGATGTGATGAACAAGGATGAGAGGGACGAGAGAGAGAGAGAGAAGGAGGCGGAGAGAGAAGTTTGGAGGCTCTGGATTTTGCGATCAGATCCGCACGAGACCTTCAAAACGTAACACAATCGAAACGACCATCAAAGCTATCAAGTGGTCTTATCCCGACCACGGCGGGCAGTGCTAGCAGGATGTAAAGTGGAGTGAGTGAGTTGGGTGAGTGAGTGAGTGGAGTGGAGTGGAGTGGAGTGGAGTGGAGTGGAGTGGAGTGGAGTGGAGTGGAGTGGAACG